TCAATCTTGAAACACTCTTCAAGTACCTCTTCACTCTTCAGTTTTCAGAGATAGTTAATAACCCGCCTCGGTCTCTCTTACCTTCTTTTGGGGTAAAATTTACTAAAAAATGTTTGGTAGACCAAATTTTTTTTGGGAATATTGAGTTAATTTTAATGATGTTGTGTGTTAATTTTCCCACCACATGGGAAAAAAAACAATTTCACCATTTCAATAGTAATATTTCCCAACTATTTTACATAGAAAAGCAAATGATGGGAAAAAAAATTTCCTAACCATATTTTTACTTCACCTCCTACCAAACATTGACAAATAATTTTCCAACTCTATTTTCCTGGAAAAAAAAATTTCACCTCCTACCAAACACATGATTGTGAGATTAAAAAATTGTAGTGTGGTCTTCTAAATTATTCTTAATCTCTTTAAATCTTCAACAATTTTAGCTATATAAAAGAATGAAAGGACATATATAACTTTGTGGGTATCTAATTTATAGATAATTGATAACATGATTTATTTATGGGTTCGCCTCTTCTGCAGCAATAACAATAAGAAAATACGTAAAATAAGAGTCAAATGAAGTGATCTTAATCTGTGTAATAGATTTCTTTTAATTTTTTTATATTAGATTTGTATTATATTTCAAATATTTTTGTTTATAATATAATATTTTTTATTTTCGCCCCGCCCGTCATTAAAATTCCTGCGTCCGCCACAGTCTAAGATGCATCACCAGATCTACACTAAGGCATTTTCTTCATCATTATTTTCGAGGGAACTAACAAAATAGTTGTCTTCTTCTTCGCGCTCTCATTTCAAGCATTGTGGTGAGTTTATTGGCTCTTTTCTTTAAAATTTGCATTTTAGGATTTTTTTTTTCTTTGTAATTTATATTTATATTTAGTATTTTTCTAGATTTTGTCAGATACGTTCTCTCGTTGGGGTTGAAGGTGTCGATTGTGCCCTTTTAATCCGAGTCTTTAAATCAGGTATCTATTTTTTTATCTTTTCATATATGAATTTTTTAAGTGTTGATTTGTGGGGGGACTCCCCGATGAGTTACTAGTAGCGTAATGATTTTGTGCTTGTGTGGAACAATGGGTTCGGTGATCAAGTGGTTTGTTTTTTATTGTTTGGGGTGATGCAAAACACAATTGCAGAAGCTATTCCTCTATTGTTGGCTGCATGTAGCATTTTCTGTTGCTTAAACTCACAGAATGGAGCGGATCTTGTCACGATCTATGCTTTCTACCTTGAAACTATGAATCTATCGTCTTTTGGCTTCTTATAATGAAGATAATTCTTATATTTCTTTTTTGTTATTACATTGTTGTGTCTTCACTGATTCCCTTATGGAGATAATTCTGATATTTTTATTGTGCTTCTAATAGATAATTGTGTTTTCTTAGGACTTCTTATTGGTATTATGATGTGGCTTTTCTCATTGCATTATCATATATATTTCACTTCTCCATCGCGTATGTGTTTATCCCTACAACGAAATTACAAATAGTATACAACATTGCCACTTGATAGAATTCATTTAGTGGTTGAAGTCAGAGGGTGTAATAACAAATTATGAAACGTAGTATTTTTACTTACAATTTCTTAGTTAACTTATTTTCTGAAGTCAATTTGTAAATAAAAGGCTTTCACGTTAGTTTCAAATATTATGTGAGGCAGAACTCAAGAAACAAAAGCTCTTTTGATATTACTCTTTGTATTGTTTTCTTTTATTTACTCTTTGTAAATAAAAGGCTTTCACGGTAGTTTCTCTTAACAACTTTTTAGAACAAACTTGTCAAAATATATTATGACGTTGAGGATGGACACAAAATGTTCTTTTGCTGATCAATGGGTCATTCAAAGCATCTTGGGGCTGACCTACTTGTGTAGGTGGGGGTGCAGTTGCAGTTAAACAATTTTATGGGTTTCCCCACTGCATTTTTCATTTATTAACATCTTGGTAGATAAATATGGCAATTGCCCAAAATCTAGACCAAGTGGTAGTTTTAATTTGTCTAGGAGTTTGTCACACCAAGTTCCCAACCGTTTATTAACTAATGTATCAAATTGATCATTAAAATGGAATATGAATCCATATGAAACTAATTAGACAAAACCACCGTAGGAGGAAGGAATGGTTATTGATTAATTGATGTGATCGACTTTCAAGTCAAACATTTGATTATGTCCATAGTAACTATATGCTCTTTGCATGCCTTCCCGTGTAAGAATCTCAGAGCAGGGTCAGGTTGGTGGTTATGTTCTGAAGTCAAGGCTCAGATTTGTATATAGCAATGTATAATAATGACCTCAAATTTGCCTTGTCAAGCACGGGAAAATTCTATGTCATTGGTGGGATTGATGTTGATCACTTAGAGCAGCTAACATGTGGTGAAGAGTTTGATCTCAAGACCAGAAAATGGCATGAAATCCCCAACATGTTCCCAAGAGCTGAGGGGGCTGTGAGGCGCAGTACTACTGAGGCACCGCCTTTGGTTGTTGTGGTGAACAATAGTTTGTATCTAGCCGATTATGCACTGCAGGAAGTAAGGAGATATGATAAAGGCAGGAACTTATGGGTCACCATTGGAAGACTTCCTGAGGGAGCAAGTTCAATGAATGGCTGGGGATTAGTTTTTCGGGCATGTGGAGATAGGCTTATTGTTATTGGTGGTCCTACTTGTTATGGTGTAGGGGCGATAGATATTAATGCTTGTGTCCCAAGAGAAGGTGCATTATAGTGGAACCTGCTTGCCAAAAGGCAATTAGGAACCTTTGTATATAATTGTGCGGTGATGGGATGTTAAGGTGATTGTTTATGGCTCATGGGGAGATATCTGTCTGCACTCTCTTTTTGGGAAATTTCAGGTCCAATTTAAAATCATTGATATAGTTTTAGAAGGTTTACAGATGGTTGATGTTCTCTTCTTTTTCCTTTTTTTAATTGGTCTGGTATATGTTGGGTTATGATGTCCATTTCATAAATTTAGAACCTTTATTATGCACCAAGGGCTTTGGACAGACAAGCATTTCTTAAAGTGGTTAGGGAAGATGTTAAGCACATATTCATTAGTATCAATTAGAAATTGCTAACTTCCATTAGTAAAAGATTGGATTGGTATCAATTAGTCCCAATTAATATTTGTTAGATTCCATTAATAAAATATTGGTATCAATTAGTCCAAATTAGTATCGATCACCTTGTCAGTATTCCAAATCCATGTAATATGCTTTTATAAAACCTGCGATGGTTGTATGGAATGACCAATCAATTAACTTATTCCAATCATTCTCTCCCTCCCATTTCTTCTCTATCTTTTCTCTCAGGAACTCTGTCATTCAACAATTACACTTAACAACCTTGCAAATGTAGGAGCAGATATGTTAGGTGAGAGCCGTCTCAGATCCCCCCCACACCTTAGTCCAAATATATTATTAATCGTGTCATGGCATAAATGCATAATCAAAAGATTTTGTTTGCAGACTCATTGCAATCAATTTTTTATTTTTTTTACAAGCAATGAGGATGAAGCTGTCAAATTTCAAAGCAATTCTAGGTACCTGAGCAGATTTATTGAGCTGAAGAAGTGTGCAAAATCTTGGCATATAAACTGCTATAGAATTGTTGTTAATAGGCTGACTTAGTTGTAAAGCTTCTCCCAGTATCTTGATGTATTTCCCAATTTCCTTTTGTGGCACATTTGCTGCAATTGAAATTTCTTGTCGTATCACAAGAGATGAAATTTAGACTATTAGAGACGTCCAAAATCTAAAGTCTAAACTAAAGAGAACAACTTTCCCCACACAAGAAGCAAGTGTAACCTGTAATTGTTTTTACAAACTAAGCATGGACTCAGTTTCAGGTTTTCTACCTAAACTTGAAAGTCTAAATAAGGTAATGATTGTATTGCCTAAACTTGCTTGGACAACAGAAAACCTAAAACTGAGTCCATGCTTAGTTTGTAAAAAAAAATTACACATTGCACTTGCTTCTTGTGTGGGGGTAGTTGTTCTCTTTAGTTTAGACTTTAGATTTTGGACATCTCTAATAGTCTAAAATTTCATCTCTTATGATATGAAAAGAAATTTCAATTGCAGCTAATGTGCCACAAAAGGAATTTCAGAAATACATCAAGATACTGGGAGAAGCTTTACAACTAAGTCAACCTATTAACAGCAATTCTATAGCAGTTTATTTGCCAAGATTTTGCACACTTCTTCAGCTCAATAAATCTGCTCAGGTACCTAGAATTGCTTTGAAATTTGAAAGCTTCATCCTCATTGCTTGTAAAAAAAAATTGATTGCAATGAGTCTGCAAACAAAAGCTTTTGATTATGCATTTATGCCATGACACGATTAGTAATATATTTGGACTAAGGTGTGGGGGGATCTGAGACGACTCTCACCTAACATATCTTCTCCTACATTTGCAAGGTTGTTAAGTGTAATTGTTGAATGACAGAGTTCCTGAGAGAAAAGATAGAGAAGAAGTGGGAGAGGGAGAATGATTGGAATAAGTTAATTGATTGGTCATTCCATACAGCCATCGCAGGTTTTATAAAAGCATATTACAGGGATTTGAAATACTGACAAGGTGATCGATACTAATTTGGACTAATTGATACCAATATTTTATTAATGGAATCTAACAAATATTAATTGATATTAATTGGGACAAATTGATACCAATCCAATCTTTTACTAATGGAAGTTAGCAATTGCTAATTGATACGAATGAATATGTGCTTAGCATCTTCCTAACCACTTTAAGAAATGCTTGTTTGTCCAAAGCGGTGCATAACAAAGGTTCTAAATTTATGAAATGGACATCGTAACCCAACATATACCAGACCAATTAAAAAAATGAAAAAGAAGAGAACATCAACCATCTGTAAACCTTCTAAAACTATATCAATGATTTTAAAGTAGACCTGAAATTTCCCCAAAAAGAGTGTGCAGATAGATATCACCCCATGAGCCAAAAACAATCACCTTAACATCCCATCACCACACAGTTATATACAAAGGTTCCTGATTGCCTTCTGGCAAGCAGGTTCCACTGTACTGCACGTTCTCCTGGGACACAAGCATTAATATCAATCGCCCCTACACCATAACAAGTAGGACCACCAATAACAATAAGCCTATCTCCACATGCCCGAAAAACTAATCCCCAGCCATTCATTGAACTTGCTCCCTCAGGAAGTCTTCCAATGGTGACCCATGAGTTCTTGCCTTTATCATATCTCCTTACTTCCAGCAGTGCATAATCTGCTAGATACAAACTATTGTTCACCACAGCAACCAAAGGCGGTGCCTCAGTAGTACTACGCCTCGCAGCCCCCTCAGCTCTTGGGAACATGTTGGGGATTTCACGCCATTTTCTGGTCTTGAGATCAAACTCTTCACCACATATTAGCTGCTCTAAGTGATCAACACCTATCCCACCAATGACATAGAATTTTCTCGTGCTTGACAAGGCAAATTTGAGGTTATTATTATACATTGCTATATACAAATCTGAGCCTTGACTTCAGAACATAACCACCAACCTGACCCTCCTCTGAGATTCTTACACGGGAAGGCATGCAAAGAGCATATAGTTACTACAGACAAAATCAAATGTTTGACTTGAAAGTCGATCACATCAATTAATCAATAACCTTTCCCTCTTCCTATGGTGGTTTTGTCTAATTAGTTTCATATGGATTCGTATTCCATTTTAATGATCAATTTGATACATTAGTTAATAAACGGTTGGGAACTTGGTGTGACAAACTCCTAGACAAATTAAAACTACCACTTGGTCTAGATTTTGGGCAATTGCCATATTTGTCTACCAAGATGTTAATAAATGAAAAAATGCAGTGGGGGAACCATAAGGGAATCAGTGAAGACACAACAATGTAATAACAAAAAAGGAATATCAGAATTATCTTCATTATAAGAAGTCAAAAGACGATAGATTCATAGTTTCAAGGTAGAATGCATAGATCGTGACAAGATCCGCTCATTTCTGTGAGTTTAAGCAACAGAAAATGCTACATGCAGCCAACAATGGAGGAATAGCTTCTGCAATTGTGTTTTGCATCACCCCAAATAATAGAGAACAAATCACTTGAACACCGAACCCATTGTTCCACACAAGCACAAAATCATTAAGGTACTAGTAACTCATCGGGGAGTCCCCCCACAAATCAACACTTAAAAAATCCGTATATGAAAAGATAAAAAAAATAGATACCTGATTTAAAGAATCATATTAAAATGGCACAATCGACACCTTCAACCCCAACGAGATAACGTATCTGACAAAATCTAGAAAAATACAAAATATAAATATAAATTACAAAGAAAAAAAATCCTAAAATGAAAATTTTAAAGAAAACAGCCAATAAACTCACCACAATGCTTGAAATGAGAGCGCGAAGAAGAAGACAACTATTTTGTTAGTTCCCTCGAAAATAATGATGAAGAAAATACCTTAGTGCAGATCTGGTGATGCATCTTAGGAGATACGCTTAGGAGATAGAGTTGATAAAGATCACCACAAATGTCTCATCATGATTCTAACAATGGAGGAAATACACTTTCGAGACAAAATAAGAAGAAGAAGCTAGGCGTTAGAAAGGTGGGGCTTAAAAGTCAGTGTGTTAGGGTTTGAGGAAAACAATTTTTTTTTTAACATATACATATATAACACGTTGTAGCGGTCATCAAATAACAACAATAAAAAATTCAAAATTTGTAAATAAATTATATAAATTTTGGCGGTCAAAACTTGCCACTTTATGTAAATTAACAAAAAAAAAAATTCAAAGTAGCGTTAAGCAAAAATGTTAGAATTTAAATATTTTTTGGGAGTTTTATTGACCTCCAGTAAATAACCTCCACGAATAACATAATTTTTTTTGTAGTGAAGCTGCTAAAAATACTGGTAATATATAAAAAAAAATCTGCAAAAAACGACTGAATAAGTATATTGAATCTGTACGGCATTAATTCGTTGGACTTGGATATGTATGAAGGACTTGGCCAATTGAAGTCTCCTAATAACATTTTCTTTTTTCGGTTAGATTCTTGGATTCATTATTATATAATATTGAACTAGGCCAGCTATCCTCATCAAAGATTTCTCCTCCAATAACGTAGTTTGCATTTCCAATTATTATAAGAGACTTGCTTTCAATTATTTGATGAATATTTCTTGTGCGGCGTAAAAAATGGAATCCACTTGTTATATTAGTATTATCTCTTGTTGAGCCAAAGATGCAAATAGGCTTATCGTAAGGGTCAATATATGGGATATAATTAAAAGTTTTCACGTTAAGGTTTTCTCTCTCGACCCTTTTCTTAGTGGAATTGAGTAGTTCTTACTGGGTAAATTCTTTCATAAGTACTAGGCTTGTTTGGAACTATTCTCATTGGGCCATGGACCAATTAAAGGCAAACGTTTCCTGAAGAGTCTCCTTTGACGGTAGTTGAAGATGGTTTCTTCGTATATTTCTAACATGCAGAACTGGTCTAATTAATAGTTCTTTGATAAAAACTCTGGGTACGGAACTACAAGAAAGCTAATCCTTCCTGCATATATGCTTGTCTTTTTTGTGTTTGATTGCTTCTATATTGACCTAGAATTTAATGTTCAAATCTGTTTTGGAGGCACCGTGGCATTCTTGTACCTAAGGTAAAGAAAGTCAAAACTACTTTGTAGTCAATTAACTTTAAACAAGGGAATGGATTCTAGTGCTAATTGCCGCAATGACCAAGCTAATGAGTATCTTTTAAGTATATTTATTAAAGAATTAAAAAATATATAAAATAAATAAAACTCTTCGAGTTTTAATATATTTAAATACTTTACATTTAATGTTATATTTCCTATTTTTTATTCCTCATAAAGTATCTTAATGTTCAATATATAGTAACATTCAATTAGATATCAGGTACAAAGCTTCTCTCTGGGGTCAGCTTTTTTATATATCATGAGTTTGATAACAAATAAACTATATAATATATTATTAACGAGAGATGTTATACTTACAGGTTATTTTTCCTTACAACCTCTCGCGACTATTTTTATGGGTTATATTAAAATTAAATCAATAATTCTCATTTAATATCATTTTGTAACTGATAATTTAATTTAGATCAAAATTAAATCAATAATTCTCATTTAATATCATTTTGTGACTGGTAATTTAATTTTTATCCCACAACTATAAAAATGGTTGTAAAGGGCTGTAAGGAAACTTTTTTTTTTGATAAATATAACCTCTCTCATTGTTAATTATGATAATTAATTCTAAAATAACTATACCCGAATTAGCTGTGCTACGCTCTGTTTAATCTAGCGGTTGTGACCGACCGCAATATTCTTGCGTCATTTACTATGAATGTTATAGGATTGGTATAACTGCAGCCATGCCTTGAGAGAAAAATTGCTTATATTTTTAACTTTCTATATATGTACATCTAAGTTCCTCTATATATTCTCTTCGCCTCTGATACCTCAAATTATAATCCGAGGGAGAAGAAATAACAAAGAGAAGTAAAAAAAAAATACCCACAGAAGCATTAGAGCTAAGCCTTCGGGTCTGATACTTAGCTAGTTACAACCTCTACTTAGCTGTATTTGGTTCAACATGGCTTGTTTACCACACATTTTATGGAACCTGCAAAGCGAGTGAGACTGGCTGCAAATTTCCCAGGCTTGGCAGTGATATCTGTCTTGGGAAAATTTGCTACCTTTTTTCCAGACTGTGTAAAGAAGGCTCCATTCATCAGTAAATCACCCTCTGATCTCCAATTCCATGTCTTCCACACACTTTCAGCTGCATAGTCCCTCTTTGTCACCTATATCATACAGCACAATAGTACGTGTGAGTATCATTCATTAGTTTCTTCATTCACAATAATAAGCATATATCCAGGAATCTATTTTATAAATGTTAAAACTCAATGTTTATGCTTGATTGACTGAACTCATACTTCGATTTTATGACTTGCTTACTTTCAAGTCACATATGTGATTAGTTTTATTTATGACTTGATCACTCGTAGATAAACATACGAGTCACATATGACAATAGAGATTGCTGGAATTTGCATGATCTAGAGATAGACTTGTGAATTTTATAAATAAACATTGACATATTGGTGTGATAAAAGAAGCAAGTTTTTAAGTACATACTTCTTTTGCATGTGGGTTAGGAGGAGCAACAAATCGATTTCCCTGGCTGATGATAGTGGGTTGTTGGCTACCACCTATGGCATACATTTGCCAATGAGTGTAGTCATTGTTAACAATATGAAAGAAGCCCCATCTGCACCTTGGCATCCTCTGTACCAATCCTTTTCCAAAATGGTTGAAAGCCAGAGTTACTTGCATTACTTTATCACCTGAGAAGCCATTGCTAGCACCAAGTAATATAACCTGCATTGCAAATATTTAAAAAAAAAAAAAATTAACAAATTGCACATTATAACTGCCACAGATTCATATCTATAATCAAAATTAAAAATGATTACATTACATCATTGTGACGGGTAAAATGGCAATTGGAGATGGTAATGGCTGTTGATCCTTGGACAGCATCAATGAGACCATCAGCGCACTTGGTCATCGAAATATGATCTATCCAAACATGTGTGGCTCCGTACAATGAAATTCCATCACCATCACTCATCGAGCGGATTCCATAGTGGTTCACAGAGTCTCTGATGAGGCCACCGCTAGCACTCCTAATATCATGGATGTGAAGCCCGTGAATGATAATATTTTTCACATATTGCAATGTTATTTGGGCACCATCGCTAATATGAACGTTGGCACCACGTGCATCTATGGTCTTATTATCTGTAAGTAGAAGCTCCGCGTTCAGTCTAATGTTCATGTTACGTGCAAAAGTGATCCATAATGGCTCTTTCTGAATAGCTGCATGTCTCAAGGTTCCAGGTTTTGGGTTCACGAGGTCATTGTCTGATGGATCTGTGACCACATAAAATTTTCCATCTTTGCCTCCCGTTGTGCCGTGGCCAAACCCAATTACACAATCTGCTAGCTTCTTGCGATTTTTTGCCCAATTCGGATCACATCTCCAGCATTTATCAATGGGATTTGTGGCCTTGCATGGACCCTTGTATTTGGCTAAGGCCCTTCTTGTGCTGTTGGAGCCTTCCAGAGCCCTGTTCCGTGAGAACCAATTAGGATATGCAAATTAATAAAAGTTTCAATGATACATAAGAAAAATTGTTGGAAATTTATAATGTTAAGAAACTTGGGATACACCACCCCAAAAGCTAGCTCAAGAAGTGAGAGTGCCCAAGGTCTTATAAAGGCCATATTAGTTGCTCATCCAATCAATGTGAGACTATATATCTCAACACGTCCCCTCACGCAAGAGCCATTTAGGCTAGAAGTGTGGAAATTGCACAGTCCGGTGAGGCTCTGATACCATGTTAAGAACCTTGGGATATACCACCCCAAGAGCTAGCTCAAGAGGTGGGAGTGCCAAAGACCGTATAAAGGCCATATTAGTTGCCCATCCAATCAATGTGAGACTATATATCTCAACAATCATATAGAGAGGACAAATCTAGAGTAATAGTAAAGTTGTTTCTTTGTGATTGAAATATCACGTGATCAAAATAACCTCTTTTCAAATATCTAAGGGTCCCTCTATTTTTGTTAGTCGAGTTTAACATGAAGTGGTTATTAAAATAATACAAGCTAAGCCACTAGAATTGATTTAGCTGTGAGGGATTTGAATAGTTTACACAAAATTATAAGTTCGAATATCGGCACTATACTTGCATAAAAAAAAAATGCAAGCTTAAACTAAGAGATGAGAAAAATTATATGATGGGAGAGACAATGGACATACTTGATAACGTGCTTATTGAAGTCAGCAGTAACTTGCTCAGGGTTTGGCTTGAAAGCTAGGCGAGCGGCTTTCCTTGCTTCCAGAGAGCGCTTCTGCCAGACGTGGTCGAAGTGACCTATGTTAGCCCTTAGGGTAGGGAATATTGCAAGATAAAATACACAAAAGAAGAGCAAACTAAGCTTGTTAGCTTCCATGATTTTTGTTTTTTTTTCCTTTCTCGTGAAGATATTTATGCCTAGTTTCTGTTTTTTTGTTTTTTGTTTTTTGTTTTTTTTTTTATCGTGTGCTTTTAACCTACATATTTAGCTTGTTAGCTATTTGAGTTCTTCTCCCGTAATTTTTGCTAGACCCAACGTAAATGATACTATATAGATCCTCTTGGTGCTATATCTAAGTATGCATGGAACGATACCAATTGCTAAGAGAAGTGGATATGCGTCGATTTCGTTTTATATGCTATATCTTCGCTTCTGATTGTACGGAAGCGTATTAGACACCATTTTAAAGTTCAAATCCTTTAATGTGGGGGAAGATTATATACAGATGCGATAAGTCTAAATGAAGGGAAGATACAAAAATGAAGCGTCGTAAGGGAAGAGCGGAGAGCCTTTCCCTTCAACGGCTAGTTTTTTAGACTCTTTACTTTCTTAATTCGTCCAATTTGGATATTTTAGTACATGTCGGACGAAGCTTATTATTTGTCTAAAAAATTCATTTACATGTTATTCATGTTATTCAATTACAGATGGAGCGGATTGATGTCATTAAGACACAATAATAGGGATAGGCTAACAAGATATGACACAAATTACTAGATGAGAACACGTCACGTTTAACCTTATATTATTACCAATTAGCAAAGTTAAATAAAGTAAATAACTATGGACCTGTGGCTAAGTGTGGAAAGCGAAGATATTAGTGGTAAAATTTAAAACCATTTGAGTTTCAAATGTGTGGTTATTAGTGTTTTGCGCTTAAACTGCTGCGGCCCAGGAAATTAGTGAAGGAGATTTTGTTGTTCAGCTCTGTGAATGTCATACAAATTGAGGCTGCTCTGCAAGTTATTGCTTGAACAGTTCTTTTATTGGTTTTCAGAGGAAACAAAACCAAAATATATTGCAATACTTGCCTAAAATATGGGAGGGACTGAAGAAAAAGATAATAAACATGAGGATGAAGTTGAGAAGAAGGATAAGAAGGAAAAGCATGAGGATGAAGTTGAGAAGAAGGATAAGAAGGAAAAGAAAGAGAAATCCGAGGATACTGATGGAAAAGAAGAAGAAAAATCTAAGGAGAAGAAGAAGAAGAAAGACAAGGATGGAAAAGAGAAGGAAGACAAAGAAGAGGGTGGAAAAGAGAAGAAGAAGAAGAACCCTGAAGATAAGAATGATCCTGCAAAACTGAAACAAAAGCTTGAAAAATTAGACTCCAAGATGCAGGCACTGGCGGCTAAAAAAGAAGAAATATTGAAGCTGCTTAAAGAAATTGAACAAGGTGCAGCAAATCCAAGTGAAGCTACTGCCCCCCCAGCGGCCTCCTCTTAGATGAACCATTGCTTATGCTTTGTATCTCTCTGTATATACGTATATATACTATAATTGTGGAGAGAGTTTGTGTTTAATTTTGCCAGTGTTAAATTCCTGGCTTTTGTAATTTCTTGTATCAAAGTTAAATGTGATATATTATAATAAACTACTAACTTTTTATGTGAACTATATATAATGATAAGTTGGATAACCCATACCAAGATTTTAGAAAAGCATATAGTGGACTGATCATAAATTTGTAACTAAAATGAGATTGATACTAACATTAATACAGTTACGGTTAATTCAACTGATTGTAGTGAAAAGTTGATACTCGTGTTTTGTTGTGACTTTGAAATGGGGTAACCTTTTCTATGGGTAGAATCACGCAGCAAAACATTAAATCTTCTCAAGGAGGGATTCTTGTGTGCAACTAATGCACCCAAAGTTGTGTGTTGTAAGACAATTGAGACATCATCACTGTAAATATAAAATATTTGTGAGGTACATATAATTTATGTAATTATCCAATGCTAATTGGTTCAGTGTACAAAACTTCTGAATCCAAGGGTATACAAAAAAATTTCCATGTCATGACCAACAATTTGGTATGCCATCTGAGCGTGAAAATAGAGGGGACCAGTTCCTATAACATATTAAAAAGGAAGAGGACATAATCCTGTTGTAAACTTCCCGGGTCTAGTTGGAACCAGCATTCTAGCTAATGTTGCCACTTGCCTATAACAAATTAACAAGGACAATCAACAAGCTGAATGCTGGTTTGTGCTTGGACAGTGCCTTATTGCTTCCTTGACCTTGTGAATTATCCTACAAGTAGAGACTAAATTTGTGAGAAAATGTATAGTAACATCAAATTTGATATCTGCAGACTAACTTCAGAATGTTAGCATTGTTAATGCTTAGTGTTCTTCTCCTGTTTCTTTCTTCAAACCCAATGATTGTGTCATGCTTAAGTTTGGTGCATGTTATGTAGGCATGACAAGTTTGATATTCTGAAAGGCTCCTGTTATCTTGAAGTGAATCCCATCACCAAGACTGCCATAGCAGCAGAGGTGAAGCATAGCCTTCCACTCAATGAGACTGGTCTCATCATTAGTGGAGAGCACAAACGGCATGAATATTTTGATTTTCCCCATCCATTTTCTTCAATATTGGAGAACAATATAATATCCTTGTCTAGTGTTTTGTCCAGTGTTTCTTTAAGGGATTGAAAAGAACCCGTACACATATTTTATGAGTAAACTATAATAGTACTAGAAATTATTCGTCAAAGAATTTTACCAATCTAGTTCAAATTGACTTCTGTTTCTTAATGTTGGTGAATCTATGAAACAAAATCGATAGTGCATAATTTCTTTCTTTTCATCTCAAAATTAGATGGAGTAAGTAGAACCTGCCATATTACTTCCGTGCTATATTTGGTTTTGGAGAATTCATAAAAAGGGAAGCAGTTTTGTGTTCACTTTGTAAACAATGATTATTTAACTGCAAAGCATTAACAGAACTTCCATGATAAAGTTGTAAAATGAATAGAGAAAATGAAAGGTAAAATATATAGCACAATACTTGATTTTAACAATCACCATGAAGCACTCTCAAACCACACTCTAGAAAACTTTTAGATGCAGTGATAGTTGATAATTTAGTTCTGCATCATTCACAATATAGAATACTTTTATCTACAGATAACAAGACCACTGAACACACTCCACAGAAAGACAACCACACGCATACATACAGCATCATCATACTCATACACAAACCAGATACAAGAGCAAGGTTGAGTAGAAACTAGTTATGAGAACCCGGAAGAAGTCCCTCACGAATTTGGTTAGCTACATCACGAACAGAACCAGGTCCATGGGGAATGAAAACAGTAGAAGATTTGGAAGCAGCACCAATGTCTTTCATAGTGTCAAAATACTGAGTGACAAGGACCATGTCCATGACATCTTTTGCGGTTGTCCCAGGTACATTACCTGAGAATCCCAACACACTATCTCTCAAGCCATCAACAATTGCTTGACGTTGGCGAGCAATACCCAACCCTGAGAGATACTTAGACTCTGCCTCACCCTCAGCTCGCTTAATTTGCAATATTTTCTCTGCCTCTGCCTTCTCATTAGCTGCCATCCTCAACCTTGCAGCTTATCACAGAAAGAAAACATTAGAATAAAATTAAAAAATAAAATAAAAAATCTTAGCACTTTGCAGAGAATGAGGTAAAATATAAACAAATAATTATTTGTGTTGCAATCCCTAGTTTTCAGCATCTAGAATGTTTTATTTTTCCTCCTTAATCTTAGGAGTTTGTTTCGTTATTTGTTATTTAAATTCCTAGGATTAGTTTGTTTCTGATATTTTTCCTGTTTAGTTAAAATAGGATTCAGTTTTCTAGTTTTATCTCTTTCCCTGATTATAGGGATTTGTTGCACTGGAATATTTCTGGTGTCTATTTATTGTACGTTTTTTTCTTTTAGTTTTAATGGAAAAACTGGTTCCATCATTCAAACTTTCTATATGGTATCAGAGCTTGATTTCTAAGGGACTGATCCACCCATGGCTACCAATGTGCCACTCTTTGGCACCATGAGAGCCTACCAAACTACTTCTTCCAATACCACCGGTACAAATACCACTCCAACAACAACCCCACTCAATGTTTCAGCATCAAACCAAACCAACAACAACTCAGCAGCTGTCATTACCAACGATAGTCCAGCATTAGTCATCACTGGTCATCGATTCAATGGAGACAATTATTTGTTGTGGTCACGCAGCGTTCGTATGTTCATTGGAGGCCGTGGCAAGGGAGATCATCTCACCGGTACGGGTGATGCTGCTCCTCTGGAAACCAGTCATCCACAATACAAGAAGTGGTCCATTGAAAATAACCTTGTGATGTCTTGGTTGCTGAATTCCATGGTGCCTGAAATAGCTGAAACATACATGTTGTGCTCCACAGCCAAGGAAATTTGGGATGGCGTGAAGGAAGCCTTCTCTAAGGAAGATAACACAGCTGCCTTGTTTCACATCAAGGGGATTCTTCGTGATCTCAAACAGGAGGACAAGGATGTCACCAGCTATTATAATTCACTCCTAAAATTCTTGCAACAATTGGATCTTTATGATCAACATGAATGGACTACTCCAGCCGATACTCTTCAGTATAAGAAAATTGTTGAACAAGACCGCACCTACAACCTTCTTTTGGGACTCAATCCAATCTATGATGGAGCTCGCAGCCGCATCATGGCCACTCGCCCTCTGCCATCCTTGCGAGAAGTTTTTTCTGAATTAAAGTGGGAAGAAAGCCGCAAAGTTTTGACCAATAGCATCCCAAAAGTTGATGCACCTTTGGAAGCAGCAGCCTTTGTCTCTAGACCCAACAATGCAGACTCCAGACCTAGGCGAAATGGTAAGCTCTGGTGTGACCATTGCAACAGAACTGGGCATATTCGGGATACATGCTGGAAAATCCATGGCAAGCCAGCTGATTGGAAGCCAAGACAAAACAGAGACTTTAATCATGTTGCTGCAGTTGTAGAAGATGTTCCGCAAGCAAAATCCGAAGGCCATACATTTACAAGGGAACAAGTGATAGCCATACAACGCATGCTGCAAGATTGCAATAAGGACAAATCTAATCCCTCATCTGATAGTCATCAATCAGGTACATTCCATACAGCTCTCCAATCCGATCTTGATAAATGTGATTCCTGGATGGTAGATTCTGGGGCTACAGATCATATGACTGGTAATTCCTCTCTTCTTTCTGAATACTTTCCCATTTTCGAGGCAAAATCAGTAAAAACAGCAAATGGAGGCTTAGCCAAGGTTCACGGAATTGGTGTTGTTCACCTATCGTCAACCATATCTTTAACTGGAGTTCTCTACGTTCCATCTCTTACCTGCAATTTAATTTCTATTACCAAATTGACCAAGGATTTAAAGTGCACAGTCAAATTTACCCACGTTGATTGTATTTTTCAGGATTTGGCATCGGGGAGGACGATTGGCAGTGCTAGGGTCTCTAATGGTTTATATCAACTTTACACAGCCGCGGTTATGAAGACTCAAGACAGCACATTTGCAGCAACTAGCAATTTGAATAAGGCTCTTTTATGGCATTTTAGATTAGGGCATCCAAACTTTCAATATATGAAAAAGATGTACCCTTCTTTATTTAATGAGAATTCGAATTTTCCTTCATGTGATATATGTCAACTTGCAAAACAAACTCGGTCTCATTATCCCTTACAAATGCATGTTCCTTCTAAACCATTTGCCATTATCCACAGTGATGTGTGGGGACCTGCAACTGTTAAAAGCCTTACGGGTGCTCGTTGGTTTGTCACATTTATTGATGATCATACTCGAATGACATGGGTGTACCTATTAGCCAATAAATCTGAAGTCACATCCACCTTTAAAGTCTTTCACAAAATGATCCTTGCCCAATTTCAAACCCAAATCCTTACCCTTAGATCTGACAATGCACGTGATTATTTTAACTTGGACCTTTCAGCTTACCTAAAAGACCATGGCATCATCCACCAGAGCTCTTGTGTCAATACCCCACAACAAAACGGTGTATCTGAGAGAAAAAATCGCCATTTACTTGAAGTTGCTCGTAGCCTACTCTTTGCCTCAAATACATCCAAAAATTATTGGGGGGAAGCTATTCTTACAGCCACTTACCTTATCAACCGCATGCCATCTCGGGTATTACACTTCTCCTCACCTTACCAAACACTCCTCACTGCATTCCCTTCATTGACCTTAACCCCAAATCTCCCACCAAAAATTTTTGGTTGCACCGTGTTCATTCATAACTCTCAAGGTGGTAAATTGGATCCTCGGGCTCTTAAGGGCATCTTTCTTGGCTATTCCCCTACTCAGAAGGGGTATAAATGCTTCAGTCCAGCCACACATCGATTCTACATTACTAAAGATGTCACCTTTTTTGAACATCAGCCTTATTTTTCCCAAACCGCCATTCAGGGGGAGATCCCTAATTCCAAGGAATGGTTGTTTGTGACTAATACTCCAGAAAACTCTGCTTCAACAGCCCCTACACCGGTCTTAGGTGAATCTCAGGAAAATGACACTTCATCTAATGGCTTATCCTCTTCCGGCCCGCTCCAGAAACCGCCTGAACAGCAGCCCCTGCAAGTCTACACGCGACGGCCCAAATACAGAACAGCTTCTGAGATGCTTGAACATGTTGACAAACAGATTACCTTGGCTCCTGGTCCAACTGAAGAAACCATTAGTCCTGCACTTGACCAAACTAAATCCTTGCTGCCAAGTTCTGATGATGCTCTGCACATGCCAATTGCACTTCGTAAGGGGGTAAGGACATGTACAAGTCATTCCATCTGTAATTTTATATCCTATGCTAATCTTTCCTCCAGGATGCAGCATCTAGTCAAGAACATTGACAAGGAAACCATTCCTACATCCTACTTTGAGGCATCTAAGACTACTGAATGGTGTTCTGCTATCCAGGATGAATTGCATGCACTCAAAAAAAATGGCACTTGGGAGATAGTTACCTTACCACAAGGAAAATCAGTGGTTGGCTGTAAGTGGATTTTTACCATCAAATATAATGAAGATGGGAGTATTAATCGCCATAAAGCAAGACTTGTGGCCAAAGGATTCACTCAGACACAGGGCATTGATTACCAGGAAACCTTTGCTCCAGTAGCAAAATTTAATTCAATTAAAATTCTTTTGTCCATTGCTGCTTGCCTAGATTGGCCCCTTTGGCAAATGGATGTGAAGAATGCATTCTTAAATGGTGACTTAGAAGAAGAGGTTTACATGGAAATTCCCCAAGGAGTGGAAGATGGTCAAGGATCTCGAAAGGTATGTAGATTATTAAAATCCCTTTATGGTTTGAAGCAATCTCCAAGGGCTTGGTTTGATAAGTTTACTGCAGTTGTCAAAAATCAAGGGTACTCCCAATGTCAAACTGATCATACTATGTTTGTTAAAACTGCACCTCATCAGAAAATTACAATATTAATTGTCTATGTTGATGATATTGTGATTACTGGTAATTGGGAGGATGAGATAAAGCAATTAAAGGAGACGTTAGCTCACAAATTTGAGGTCAAGGACCTTGGAAAATTACGATATTTTCTTGGAATGGAAGTGGCAAGAACTAAGGAAGGAATTTCAGTTTCTCAAAGAAAATATACTCTTGATCTGCTGAATGAAACAGGGATGTTGGGATGTAAACCTTCTGATACACCAATGGAGGCGAACTACAAGATAGGACTCAAACAAGAATGTGCTTCGGTAGACACTGAGAGATATCAAAGACTAGTTGGAAAACTCATTTATTTAGCCCACACTAGGCCTGATATTAGTTTCCCTGTGAGTGTGGTCAGTCAATTTATGAACAGCCCAAATGAAGAGCACTTGGAAGCCGTCTACAGAATCCTACGATACTTAAAGATGACTCCTGGTAAAGGATTGTTCTTCAAGAAAAATTCCAGCCGTGATATTGTGATTTACACGGACGCTGATTGGGCAGGATCCATTATCGATCGAAGATCAACCACAGGCTATTGCTCATATGTGTGGGGAAATTTGGTCACTTGGAGGAGTAAAAAACAGTCTGTGGTAGCCAGAAGCAGTGCTGAAGCCGAATACAGGGCATTGTCCTTAGGCACTTGTGAGGGAATGTGGATTTTAAGAGTCCTAAAGGAGCTACACCTCGAATACAAGGATCCTATGAAGATTTTCTGTGATAACATGGCCACCATTGGAATTGTCAATAATCCAATCCATCATGACCGTACCAAGCATGTTGAACTTGATAGAAATTTCATCAAGGAAAAAATTGATGCAAATATTATTGATCTAAGTCACATTTCCACAGGGTCCCAGATTGCTGATATCTTAACCAAGTCTTTATCAAGAATTAAATTTAAAGGACTAATTTCCAAGCTGGGAATGCTGGACATCTACCACCCAGCTTGAGGGGGAGTGTTGCAATCCCTAGTTTTCAGCATCTAGAATGTTTTATTTTTCCTCCTTAATCTTAGGAGTTTGTTTCGTTATTTGTTATTTAAATTCCTAGGATTAGTTTGTTTCTGATATTTTTCCTGTTTAGTTAAAATAGGATTCAGTTTTCTAGTTTTATCTCTTTCCCTGATTATAGGGATTTGTTGCATTGGAATATTTCTGGTGTCTATTTATTGTACGTTTTTTTCTTTTAGTTTTAATGGAAAAACTGGTTCCATCATTCAAACTTTCTATAATTTGAGTCCAAAATAAGTTAACACTTGACTCAATGTAAGATTGAGTTGAGCCTTGATTACTTGAATGCTTAAGTTGTACTCATTTAACATACCAGCGTTTATTTCATTCATTGCCCGCTTCACATTCTCATCTGGCTCAATATCAACAATCAGTGTTTGAACAATTTCATATCCATAAGCTGACATAGCCTGTTATGACATTAAAGCATCAGAATACAATTAAACATAAACCACAAAACAGTTCAATTATGGGCAAATATTATAAAAAGAACCTTCTCAAGTTCATCTTCCACGGCTTTGGCAATATCATTTTTCTGCTCAAAAGCATCATCCAAGTTGAGTCTTGGAACAGTTGCTCTAATTACTGCAATTAAAACAACAGTTTTACCATAGCTGATAATTTATATGATTAAAGCACTAGTTGAATGTTTGTGCATTTTTAAGCAGTGTTATGGTTTATACCATCAAAAACATAGGCTTGGATTTGGCTCTTTGTATCGCTAAGTTTGTAAAATGCATCATTGGCCTTCTCTGACAGGGCACGATATTGAACTGACGCAACAACGTTGACAAAGACATTATCCTGAAACAAATTAAATATCAAAACTACTCAGCTGTAATCCAATGGAAAAATATAACTTGTAAGGACTAAAGAAAACCATATTACATAAAGATAGATAGTATTAAACAGGAAAGCAATCTGTACTAGTGAAACATGAAGGAAACAAATTAACAAAACACCAATGATGACAACCAAGATAACATGGCAAAGTTTTTCTATTTCACTTTTTTAAATATCCTAGTCAAAAAGAAAAGCTTTTAAACGGCGATTGATAAACATTCAATGACAAAATAAATTTGGGTATGATAGAAATGTCAGAATACGGTTAACCTTTGACTTGGTCTCACATCGAACATCCAGTTGCTGTACACGAAGAGTGAGATGACCAGCAAGTTGACTTCCAAGTATCCATGGCATGCAATGGCATCCTGGCTGAAGAACTTCTTCAAATCGTCCAAATCTTTCTTTGATAGCCACCGTGGATTGGTCAACTTGCACACAACAGAACAGATTCCCCATTTGCTTTTAACTGCAATTCTTCAAAATATATGATCATGCTATCAACTCATCAAGACATAGGATGCAAGTATGAGGATGAAAACCAGAGAAATTCGAAGTATTTCAACTGAATTCTAATATACAAGTTAAATATACAAAATTTCAAGTATTCACAAATACCTGCCAACAGCAAATTATGCAATAAATTGTACTGGTAAAATAAAACCAATAATAAAATCCGGTGGGAGAGAAATCAATGTTCAAGCCAAGATCGACGCATGCGCGATAAGACATGAAAGAACAATTGGTATGACAACAACAAAACTTTAACAGTAACATAATTCCTGAATATTTTGTTTATACGTGCTTCAATGCATACACGGCGAGAAAGGAAGACTTACAGGACAGGGAAATAATGTTCGAACAAATGGGGGTAGCAGCAAAATACAGATAAGATCAGAAATTCAGAATGACACCTCAAGTATAGTTAGTCTTCCAATGCAGAATCCACTTGGAAGGCTTCGTCAGAGTTTACTTAATTAAAGTATAAAGCTAACCAAAAGTTAAAAACTTAAAATAGACATATACTTGCTATTCTTCCTAAACGTCACCATCAATTATGCCCCATTTGTATAATCAGAATATCCTATTCGCATAAACACCCATATATATATAATATTTTATTTTTATGTATGTATGCAAATTTATATATTGTCTCTGAAAATTGAGAGCTAACTCGGGATGGTGTTATGTTCCAGCTAATACATTTGTCATGCCGGTACAACCTAGAAATACTTAGGCATAGAATGATTCAAAGGAGAAAGTTGTATGACTTTGTTATATTGAAATTAAAATATAATGATATATAATCATTGTGTGGGATCCACATATATCATGTACAAATCTGATCATGTTTATACTATTTATAATAATTTTTCATAAACATCATATTTCATTAACTTAATTATTGGATTGATAGCTTTTATAAAGTAAATCGAGTTATTAAATTTAAAAACTAATTGATAATTCATCTGAGTCAGATATTGTTAGAGAATAAAATAAACCACTAAAAAGGCCATCACCCAACACCTTAAGATTTTGGGTTGAATTAGTTATTTACATAGTATCAGAGATTAAATAAAAGCACAAAAGGTAAGCCAAAAAAAAATTGCGCCTGTGCAATATCCACGCTTCAAGTTCAAAGGGCTCTTTCGTGAGGGGGTGTGGTTAGGGATGTTAACGGGCCGAGCCGAGTTTTGGTCTTAAAAGACTACGCCTGTGTTTAAATGTGTCAGCTGTGTTTAGATATGTTAGCCTGATCAAGCATGTTACCTGTTATTAATATAATTAACTAACGGCCTATGACATGGCTTATTTACAAAAAATGAAAGCCTTATTTAGCCTATTTAAAAAAAACAAAACAAAAATTTATCCAAACAGAATATACAATCAACAGCACTAGTAATTTCATAAATATTCATAAATTCAATGTATACCCAAACAACATAATATAAAACAAAATCATTTCAAAAGTCTGTTTAACCAATATAAAATGGGGAGAAATGGATTGAGGAGAGAGAGTGAGGGCTATTACAAATAGTATAAAAAATATAAAATAAAAATAAAAATTAATATACTAGCTCAGCCTGAGAGGCTCTAAGGCTGAGCTTTTGAATTGAAGCCTGAGACCTTTTTATTAAATGAGTTTTATACAAGTTCAAGACCGGTTCCAACAATCAATTTAAGGCATATAAGCTCATGCCTTCACGAGCCGAGTCAAAGGCCCATGTTTCGTTTATCACCCATGTGTGTGGTTAAATCTTTAAAAAGGTTCTCACCTAATACCTTAAGGTTTTAGGTTAAATTGGTTCTTTACGATTATACTTACTACTATTATTATAGGCTTACCACTTTTAAAACATGTTTGGTTAATATTTGATCAAATTAAAATTAATGGCAGTTATTTTTTTTTTGTTTCAATTGTTGATTTCAATTTGATCTAACGATTATCAAACTGGTAGTAAAAATAATAAGTCTAAAATGATGGTAAGTATAACATTCTCCTAATTCATCACATTAGTTTACTTTTATGTATAATACATTTTTTAAAATATAAGTAATTAAATGTTTACTATTAAATTATATATTTATGAATATTCAATTTATACAAGGTTATATATATAATCAATAAAATAATATCACATAATTTAATAATTAAAATAGTTAAATTTGTACTTAATCGGTAAAAAAAATTATTAAACCGTGTGATATAAATTGTTAGCAAATCCCATCTTATAATCAATTAGTCAAATGATTAACCTCTTCGAACTATGGCAGCCAAAGATGTCGAATAATAAACCGGGGAAATCTGATAACAAACATGCACACTGGGATCAAACTCTGCACAAAGTGTTTTTCGCAAATCCATCTACCTAAAAAAACAAAAAAGAAAAAATTTCCTGAGAAAACCAGTGGCTAAATTGAATGCCGGCGGAACTATTGAAGATTATTCCAATGAGCGTAGTTCAGAAACTGTGGGTTAACCAAAAAAACAGACTAAAAAAGCAATTGACCAAGAACATAAAAAAGGGCGGGCGTGATTGATTGGTAGAGGATAAGAAGTCAACATAAGAAACTAGAGATAAAAAGAGAGGATAAGATACAGGTCATTTGACTCAAAGCTAATACTTAGAGATATTTATTTCGACTTACATTTGACAATTGGATAATTCTAGAGCAGTAAATTGACATTTAGGGGATTTCTAGAGTTGGGGAGCATTTGACAAGACTAATGATAGCTCCTAGTCCTAAGGGTGAAAATGGACTAGGTTAAGTTTTGCATGTGTTAAAATTTAGGTAGTGTTTGGTTAGAAAGGAGTGTAAATTTTGATGGCTAACTGCATGTGGGTATCTGTTATAACCACGTTTGGTTGAAGGATTTGAGTTGATTTTCCCATCTAAGAGCGTTGGCTAGCAAACGAGGAAGATGACCAAAAATTGGAGAAGGACACTGTTGAGAAAGTCGTTTGACCATGTGAAATTGTAGAACAAAATCGGATAAATTGGAGAACGACATTGTTGAGAAAGCCGTTTGACACATTATTTATTGTGGTTCGAAGGATGTAATAAAATGTAGGCGTTTTTACGAGGATATTTTTGTAATTTCATTAAATTTTCCTATCAATATTTTATCTTCAACCAAACACACATTCAGAAATTTAATTCAATTTTCCTGGTAAAATTTTGCCCCACCAAACAACTTTTTTACAACTTTCCTATCTAACTCATTTTTCCTCCAGATTCCTAGTATTTACATTTTCCTAATATTAAAAATTTCTCCCCAACCAAACACTAGGGAAATGTATATATCATGTAACAGGATAGCTAACAAATTTCTATTGATTCATTGATAAGCGTGCAAACACTTTTTTTGTTTTTTATTTTTCTTTCATGGTAGGACCCACTAAAATCTGTTTGTGTATGAAAAAAATTTCATGTCCTATTACTTGACATATATATTCCCCTAAAATTTAATATAAAAACTTTTATCATCTTTGTGATTCTATTCAACTCAAATTTAAATTAGTCGGTGTTAGTTAGTGACCGGATACCGGATAATTTATACCCAAAAAAATTGCCTTAATGAGCTAGTTTAACTTGTTTTTCAAATATAAAGCTTAAGTCTAACCTATTTAGTGTGACTTTTTTTTAAAAGTTTAGCCTAATCTAAAAGATAATTTACAGGATTATTTGGCATTAATCAAATAAAACCTATAATATCCTTCACATGTAGTTGTGAATTTAATTATGAATTAACGATTTTAATCATAATATTGAAGAATAATTATAAAGAAAGTAGAAGAAAAAGAAATAAAGTCACCTTTGATAAAACGAAGTTAAAATGACAGTTAAGGAGTAAAAATGCGGATAAATAAAGTTACTCAAAAAGTGAAAGTAAATATGGAAATATTATCACAAAAATATTGTAAACCAATGTGTAAAGTTAGAATGAGAGTTAAATGAGCGGGATATATGAGCTTATACCCATTGGGTTTATTTAAATCACTTAAGTGCCAAAAGCTTACTAAGTCTCTCTTATTCTTTCTTTCATCCCGCGGTTGTTTCCTCTCCACCAAAGGGAGCTTTTCTCTTTTCTCTTTTACTTTGCTTCATCGTTCCATTGAGAATCAAAGGCAACCAACCACAAATCCTCTCATCTCACACATTTGTTCATCTTTTTCCATTGTGGTGTTGTATTTGGGTGTGAGTGAAACATATTTTGAAGGACTCATGGCTGCCATTTTCGAATTTAAGGCTTGAGGAAGGGTTGTGACCTTGTTGGAAGCTTGGATTATCTTATATGTAGTGATTTGAGACTCCAAAGGTAATTATCCCAACTCCTTCTTGTGATTTTGGACAAAATGCATGAATTTAGGATTGTATAAATAGGGATTTGATGGTATCGATAGTTAAAGAGTGATTTGGATATAGCTTCCTTTGTTAAATATGGTTAGGATTGCTTCTTGATGAAAGACAAAAAAAGAAATCACCATTTAGCTCATTATAGAAAATCATGATTTTTGGCTATATGTCAATTTCGAAAATTAAATGGTATGAGTAGTTGGAGAGTGATTTGTAGTGAGTCCCTTTGTTAAACATGCTTAGGATTGGTCCTCGTAAAAGGAAAAATTATGAAATCGCCATTTAAGACACTTTGATAAATTGGACTCAAAATCAAGTGTAGATGTCTTTATGTGTAGTCTTGAAAATTGAATGTGGTAGACTAGTATATATGTACTGATTGTCTTCACGTATTTGGAATAGACTGTGATATTGTGAGAGATTGTGATTGTGACCCCTTCGATACAAGGAGTGCATTGGAGGACAGTGCTTGACAGGTAAGCTTTCGGTCCTTGTGGTTAATTCCCCGTTTGTTCCACCAGACTCTGAGGGAGGATGGTAGTTTGATATGATATGTTGAAAAAAAAAATTGTTATATGTTACATGTATATGTATGTATGTTTATGTGCCACACAAGACTGTGTTTCCTTGTGTGAGGCATAAGACGGTGTTTCCTTATGCATAGTATGAGACAATGTTTCCTCATACGGTATGTTGCAAGACGGTGTTTCCTTGTGTAATGCATACTTGTTATATTCTCTGTCCAGTAGGATTACATTAGTGCATACTGCATTGTCATACATATTCTGATGTATGCATGAATTTTTATATTGTGTTTATACCAGAAGTGAACTTAGGGATGGAGGAGCCCTCCAAGGGTCCTTAGCTTACTAAGGTAATTATATTATCTCTCCCCATATTATGGGGATCACCATTTCAAGTACAGGAGATGATGATGTTAAGGCATCGCGTGGCAAGAGGCCAGATGAGAGATATTACATGACCTGATAATCAGGATTAGCTTGTTATGCTGATATGTATTTCACATGGTTTTATTTTGGATATGTATATATACAATATTATTCTTTTGGAGAGCATAGGGAGTGTCTATGTCAGGTCGATAGTATGTATATGCTGTTATTGAAGCATGCTCAGGTCTATGTTACTTATTTAATTGCATCTCTTTTGTTTATTTGATGTAATTATATAAATAACATCATGACATTATTTTGAGACAATATGATTATGAGATAGCCTAGGCCATGTATGGTTGAGCAATATGTTTTATCTATGTTGTGGTATGACTGGATTATATTAAACTGTCAATCAGGTTAAAATTATCATGTGGAAATTATCCCTAGTGGTCCAAAATACAAACGAAATGCTGTCCATTTTATTTTGGCCATGGAAGTGAAAAAGTTTGCAATACATAAGGAAAAAGAGAAAATTTATTTAGTTAACTTCCACATTAAATAAGTTGAGCATGCTGCACTTACTATCATATAAATATTAATTAACCGGCTGCAGACGGAGCGTTACAAAACCGATCTTATTCCTTGAAATAGGTCAATAGAAATTTAAATAAGCTAAAGGCTAAGGCCTTTAAATAGGCAAGTAGACTTAAACCATTTAAAAATAGGCCACTAAATAATTGTCCCTGTATAATCATCGTGGCTGTAAATTGGTTTCTTTGTGTAATCCTAGGATAAGCCTTTATTTTCCTACATTTAAAATATAGGAAAATATTACTCTCATTTTACATGAGGTAATTATCTCATATTATTGATAACCATTTAGTTTATCTTATATTATAGACTAAATTTACATGAATTATCAAGTCAAAAATTTGAAAATTAAGGTTTATTAATGTAAAAACATGAACTATTGAAATATGAAGTAAATAATTAACTTTTACTTGTTTTGAAGGTGAATGATGTTAAATGAAAGAAAATATGAAGCTTAAAGAATTGGAGATCAAGAACTTGAAGATCATGAAGATTCCAAGTGCAAATAGAATAAATTACAGTTCTTGAAGAGGAGGCTTAAGCTCCCATGTTACTAAAAGTTTCTATACGAGAGGGCTTAAGCCACCAAAACAAGGCTTAAGCTCGCTGGCAGGTAAAAAGTTTCTCTTCAAAGAGAGGGCTTACCCAAAACGGGGCTTACCCAAAACGGGGCTTAAGCGCCTTCACACGAATCTGCACTACTGTCCCAGAGGGCTTAAGCGCCCCAATGGGGGGCTTAAACGCCCTTCACGGACCAACTTAAGCTCAATTGAATATCTCCACTTAGGGCACAGATTCTTCACTTACAAAAGGGAAAATTGAGGTAGAATTCATTATTCTGGATGATTGGAAACAGAGGAGAAGCAGAGGAAACAACCAGTTCGTGAGAGTCAGAGACAGATCAGGATCGAGTCTGCACTGAAATTATTGAAGATTCACCATTCTACTATGAAATTTGGGGGAGATTTCTTAATTTCTTTCTTTCTTGATTTCATTATGTCTGGTTAAGTCTTTATAGTAGTTAGGGTTAGATGGAACTCAAATTATTTATTATGTTTTGAATCATTCTTTATGTTGACTTTTCTTTTTATCATGAATGAAATTGTCTTTTCTTAATACTTTCTATGAGCTTGAATTTTGTAGACTGATCTTAGGTAATTACATGGCAATAGGAATATTGGTATATGATCTGTATCTGACAATTTCATCGTAATCTTTATGATTCTAGGATAGACATAGGATTTTACGTAATCTTATGATTCTTGAACGTAATGTTTATTTTCTTGGAGAATATCCCGGGAACTAGAGTTCTTGCAAGATTATAAAGATTTAAGATGTCAAAATATTGAATCCTAATTAAATTAAAAGAATTGATTGGATTGATATTAAGGGCGATTAATTTAAAGAGTGAATTCAAACATAATAGAGAGGTTGAGGGAAGTTGAAGCCTTAGCTACGTTTATTCTTGCTTTAATTAGTTTTAATATTTTGAATCTAAACCAAATTAAATTTCACAATTAATATCGATTGTCCAACTTAAGGGGATATAGTGAATTAGGGATTGAATTAGAATCCTCGTGGGAACGATCTCGTACTCAATATATTATATTACTTGTACGACCGGTGCATTTGCCAAAGTCGCAACAAGTTTTTAGCGCTGTTATCGGAGATTATATACTTCAACATTAATAGTAGCTATAATTCTTTAGATTAGACCTTATTTTCTGTTATTTAATTTTTGTTTTGTTAATTTAGTTTTTATTAATCTTTTTTTCTGGTTTAAGCGAGGTACCGTTGACACCGACTCCTTGCACTTCGACCCGGAGATAGAGAAAAGAACAAAAAGAAATAGAAAGATTGCCAAAGAAAGAAAGTAGCAAGAAAAAAAGTATCAACCTCAGTGATACGAGAGGAAGAAATAATGGCAAACAACAACAACAATCCACAAGAAGAGTTTATGGATGCATTCCTCACTCCGAGCATGCCAAAAAATACCTCAAGCATCATCAGACCAAATGTTACTACAAACAACTTTAAAATCAAGCCAGCTCTACTCTCTGTAGTTCAACAAAATCAGTTTGCTGGTGATGACGAAGAAGACCTTCACCTTCATCTGGATAAATTTCTGTTGATTTGTGACATGGTGAAGATAAACAGGGTAGCAGATAAATGAGATGATTTTGAAAGAGAAGGCACTTAAATGGCTTCATCAACAACCTGTTGGAAGTATTGTGTCATGGGATGATTTAACGGTCAAATTCTTGGCAAACTTCTTGCCTATGACCAAATATAACCAGTTGGTGAATGAGGTCCCAAATTTCACCCAACAGGAAAGGGAATCTCTTTGTTCTGCATGGAGAAGATTTAAAGACTTGCAAAAAAGATGTCCTCAATATGAGTTGCAACCCGGACAAAGGTGCGGATATTTTTCAAAGGAATAACACCTGCTTCTAGGATGTGTATCAATGCCGCTGTAGGAGGATCATTGAGACAGAAAACTCCCACTCAAGCTTTGGAGTTATTTGAATCCATGGCTTCTCTAGAAAATGAAAGTGTTCTGATACTGCCAAAGAAAAGGAGTCTATCGGCTGGAAAGCAATGATGCTATGTTGGCTCAACAAAAAGTTATGTCTCAACAATTGGCATCCCTCACAAGCATGTTTTAAAAATTTCAAGTATCTGCAGTTCAAAAACAGACACAACCACAACTACCAGCTTGTGAATATTGTGGAGGAGAACATGACAGCAACAATTTCAATGCTCTTGGGGGAACTGAGACGACTCAAGTAAATGGAATTTGGTATGATCAGAGAAATCTAGGCAACCCTCAAAGAAATCAGAGCAATCCTTATGGTGATACTTATAACCCAAGATGGAAAAATCACCCTGGTTTCAATTATAAATCAACTCAGCATCAGCTCAATCCACCTCTTCCAATACAACCACAACCACCTCCACCTACTCAAAGTCATCCTTCTGAGTTGGAAAAAGCACTAATGCAACTCTCAAAAACAATTAATGATTACATCCAAGGTGCAGAAACTTTCAGAAGTGAAACAACTACCTTCATGCAAGAAACCTGAGCAGTATTCAAGAATCAGGAAGCCGCAATGAGAAATCAAGAGGCATCTATATGGAACCTTGAAACTCAAATTGGGCAACAATCTAGGCAAATTTTTTAGAGAGCTTAAGGCACTTTTCTAGGTGATACCATAGTCAACCCAAGAGAGCACTGCAATGCAATTACTACTATGAGTGGGAAAGTCATTCAGCCTATAGAGAAGCATTCTGAAGAAAAGAAGAATGATAAGGAACATATTGTCGAAGAAAATAAGAAAGAAAAAATAAAGGATACAATTGAGGTTAAAAAGGGAACTCATGAAAAAAGTGAAAGGAAACAATTCAAGTGGAAGAAGAAGAAAGCTCTAGAAAGAAAAGACGAGCCCTTAGATCTGTCGCCATATGCTCGAATTCCTTATCCACAAAGACTTAAGCAATAGATTCAAAGGCAACAATATTCAAAGTTTCTAGACATCATCAAGAAGTTGCAGATTAATATCCCATTTGCTGAAGCCTTGGAAAACATGTCAAATTACGCTAAGTTCATGAAGAATCTTTTATCAAGAAAGCGTAAGCTGCAGGAATGTGAGACGGTGACTCCGACAGAGGAATGCAGTGTCATTATCCAGAAGAAATTACCTAAAAAGCTCAAGGATCCATGAAGCTTCAGCATTTCATGCACCATAGGTAAGGTAGAAGTCGAAAATGTTCTGTGTGATCTCGGTGCCAGCATCAACATAATGCTGTTGTCCATGATGAAGAAGCTGAGGATCACTGAAGTAAAGTCAACCAAGACAATAGTGCAACTAGCTGACCGCTCTACAAAGCAAGCTTATAGCATCATTGAGGACATATTGGTAAAGGTTGATAAATTCATCATTCTTGTTGATTTTGTCATCCTTGATCGTAACAATATCTACTTTATTTGAGTTGTCTTCTAAAATATTTTCTTATATGGAATTTTACAATTAATTTTGCTCCATTATTTTATGTTTATATGTCCAAGAAATAAGCATACGTGACCTTATGGGATAACATAATATATATATATATATATATATATATATATAAAAGTAAAAATTCAACGTATAATCTAAGGGTTATATTTATCTCATTTTTCATAAGATAACTAAATTTTCTACACACAAAAAATGGGTAGATTCCATTTCTTTTTTCTCTTTCTCCTCTTATTTATGAGTCTCACTTGTATTTTTGTTTCTACAACATAAGATAACTATTTTTCTAGCAGATACAAAATTTATTTCTCATAATCTAATACAACTAATGACTCATCCGAAGTTAAGATTGTTTGTTTGAAATACAAATTTTGTATAAAATGTCTACTTTATTTATTCAAATTTTCTCAAGAAAAAAGAACAGTATCGTTTAGACTTTAGAGGATAAAGCTACGGACAATATGATTGGTGGAAATCAAAGTGGCAAGATCGCATCACAGAAAACCAAGATTATTGTTGTTGTTATTATTATTAACAGAAAATGTCTTTTGAGTGTGTCTCATCGTCGTCCCACGTGGCAGTTGAGATAACATCGAGAAAAGTTCTGGTTCTTCTCAAACCAAAACCATCCATGGCGGTCCCTGCTTCATCCTCAGCTCCTGGTCTTCGAGGCATCCACACAAACCGCACCTTCTCTTCCTCATTCCGCTACCAACGCTCATTTCCCACTCCCACCACCAACAAACCTCTTACCGTCCTCGCCATGGCTCCCATAAAGAAGGTACAAAAAAAAATTTCCATCTCTCTTTCTGTCTTCACACGAGGAAAAGAAATTGCAATTTTTTTTTATTTTTTTTATTTTTTTTTCTTTTGAGTTGAATTGATGATGTTACGTGTGCAAGGTGAACAAGTACGACAATAACTGGAAGAAGGAATGGTTCGGAGCTGGGATCTTCTACGAAGGAAGCGAAGAAGTGAAGGTGGACGTGTTCAAGGAGCTCGAGAAGAGAAAAGTGTTGAGCAATGTTGAGAAGGCAGGGTTGCTGTCCAAAGCGGAGGAGTTAGGGTTTACGCTCTCTTCAATTGAGAAGCTTGGTGTGTTTTCCAAGGCTGAGGACCTTGGCTTGCTCAGCTTGTTAGAGAAAGCGACTACCTTTTCTCCTTCCCTGTTGGCCTCCGCGGCGCTTCCGTTTCTCGTGGCTGCCCTCGCCGCGATTGTTCTTATCCCCGATGACTCCGCCGCCCTCGTCACCGTTCGGGCGGTTGTCGCCGCCGCACTTGGCGTCGGGGCTGTTGGGTTGCTTGTTGGGTCTGTTGTAATAGGCGGATTGCAGGAAGCTGATTGATTGAATAGAAAATATCAGATGGATTAGTGTCAATCTAATTTTGGAATTTTATTTTATTTTTTGTCTCTTTTTTGCTTTTATAATTGGGCATAATGGGATTCTCTCTTTCTAGTGCAAAAAATAAAATAATTTTCTGGAAATAGGAACGAACAACTATTGCAAATTTGCAATGCATATTGTGAATGAATTACTGATTATTTCTGTTCTGTTTTATGTTTCATAATCGATATTCATTTTTCCTCTTCTTTTCAAACTTAATATGCTACTTTTATTAATTAAAAGGAAAAGATGGAGGAGGTTAATTGTTTTCCTCTTCTTCTTTTTGTCCTCATATTCGGCTTGCTCGGTTGGAATTTTATATTAACTGTATGATGGGAGATATTCTTACTACTATATCTTACTACTAAAATTTTGAAAAGAGAGAAAATACTAATCCAACAATAATTAGATATGTAGTAAGTTGATAGTAAAAAATTTTAGTACTGAGAATATCTCGTTCTAACCGTAAAACCAAGGTATTCAAGGCTTTGGTCAATCTATACCATTGGTTTATCACAAAGAATAAATCCGCTGATTTGTATGTGGAAGGCTGTCTCACTTGAGACACCAGAAGATCAACTTTCATTTACAGACCACATTATTTTGATTCATTCGTGAGTTATATCTTCGATTTAAATAATAATGGATTTATTTATAAATAAATAAAAAACAATAATGGACTTTTCATTGGAAGAAAATTAGCCATGTAAATAGGCTAGGTTAGGCTTTGGCTTAAATAGGTCAGACTTGTATAAAAAATATTGGGTCTGGCCTAGCCTATGTAGGCCTCAAATTATAAGCCTGGTCTGATCTATGTTTAAAAAATAAAAGTCTTGGCTTAGGTTTATTAGTCTGTTTAAACTTGTTAAACTGTCAACGATTAAAAGAAGGGGTTTGCATTTGTCATTTAACATGACACAACAAACTTTCCTACACACAATATTTTGTGGGGCCCACACTTTTTGAAAAAAAAAGGAAAAAAAAAAAGAAATTACGACACGCAAAACGAATCTCTATAACATTACAGAATCAATTTTCCTACAACATAACTCTTATAAAACCCTTAAAAGAATACCTAAAATAATATTACTTTATAATTCAAAATTATTAAAATAATAATTTTATTTATTTTATTTAAAATAAATAATATGATATAGGCCGTCCTGTAGACTTATATGCTCGATATGTATAAAAAAGTCTATGGCATATTTTCAAAATATATTTTTTTCAAAGATTAGGCCTGTTCTATTTTACTATTTGTGATAGGTTAAGTCTGGCTTAATATAAGTAAGGCCGTAGATTCATGTAAATCGACCTAGTCCATTTATACCCTGAGACAGAAGGTGAAATAAAATGGCTCGATATAGTAAAGAAAAAGGTAAGACTAAGAGGACAAGTGTAATTATTTTGACAACATAGGAATAAAATTTTCAATACATGAATTAGCCCAAATGCCCAATTCATCCCATTAAATTAAGGGGTTTAGAGAGTGAGGGCCTAAATTAAATTAGGTTAGGGTCAAGTGTGGGCTCTAGTTACATTGCGTTTTGAATTTTGATGTTGGGGTTGTGGGCTGTGTGGTCTGTGGCAATAAAATGTTCCTGAGTTGTATCAAGCAATGGGCAATTCAACCTATGATAGCTTGCTAGAAAGTCGAAGGAGATTCAACCAACCAAGGTGGAAAAACAAGTCTACTGGATCATTCTGTAAATATTTAGATTATTATTAGGGGAGTTGAAGTGACCTATATCCTCCAAGGAATATGAAGAAATCAGAAAAATTCTATAATCGGTTCTTTAAATGTAAGTTACACAACGATTCTCATTTTATAGAGTGAAATCTTTATGCTAGCTCCATTAAATAAATTGGGTTAACTCTATTAGTGGAATTAACATAAAATTTCACTAATTAATAAAAAAAAATATCAAAGAGTGTGTTGATATTTCTTTTATTATACTGTGTGCTTGTTTTACGCAGTTAGAGAGATGCATACTCAATACAAGTAAGAAACATTATTAACTTTTTCCATAATTGTGTGCTGGGGAAAGGGTAGGTGGTGGTGAGTAAGAGTAACGAAGTAGGACAGGGACGGATCAAAGAAGTGAGGCATACATTGGCTTTCAAGTTTCAGTGGTCATTTAACAGCTTAATACGAGTTTTTTCATGTATGTTTAATTATTCAATTTATTTGAGAGGACTAAAAAGAACGGACTAATTTTTTAAGCAAGTGTTTATAGACAATTATACATATATAGTTTAAGCCAATAAATATTAAGTAACTGGTGAACATATATTGTATTGTTAATTTCTCTCCTCAGGGGCTGTTTGGTATGGAGTAATTTCTTGAATGTCCTAGAAAGTGGAAGTGGGAATAATTTATTTCCACATTTGGTAGAAGGAAAACATAAAACTTGACTGGGTATAGTTTATTCCCCGACAGCCATTTTACACTACCGATAGTGGAATCGAATTACTATTTAAAACATGGTAATTGTCAGTTCCCAGGTCTTGGTTTCTTCACGTTTCATTTCTCAGACTAAATTACCCCCCAACCCTATCTTATCATTTGTGCCAAAAAATGAATTTGTGGTGAAAAGGAATCAGGCTCTCCACCGAATGTTCCTACGGAGAACCAAGTATCTCTACTCGTTTTCTTTCTTGTAATTTCTTGATGATGGCTTTGATGGATTTTGTATTTTTTATTTTTGGTTCTGTTTCTGTTCTTTTAAACTCCAAAGTTCTCAAATGGTTGAAATTTACTTAATCTTTGTGTTAAAAAAAAAAACTTTACTTAATCTGTGGTATTTTTTTTTAAGCTTATGGCCCTTTCTTTCCTTTTGGCTGATCATATTCTTTGGTTCTGATTGCCCTTTTTTTAAAATTTGTTGTCAAATTTAATAATAATTTTCTGGTTTTCTTTTCCACTCACACGATTTCCGTTTAACTAGAAGTTTGGGGATTTTGCTCTGATTTTGGTTCTTTGAACGGTGAGTTGTCCTGTAAGCATCCTCTCCTCACATTGGCTGGTAGGTCGTATACAGTGTTATCAGAAAAATAACTCTATTTCGATCCAACATGCTTTCAAAGGAAAGACATCAGAAGAACTTTGGGCTCTGTTTGTAAACGAAACTTACCAGCACTATGATCCTACAACGATAACATCACGGTTTAGGAAATACAAGATGAAGATTGATAAAGTTCAAAATTAGGTCGCCCACGAAGATGGTCGTTCTTTGCGATTTGTTTTTTGTTATAATGTGCCAAATCGTCTTGAATAAAAGTTATTCTCAACGATGGTACTTTTGTCAAATTTCATCATATTCCCATCAATATTTTATTTTCAACCAAACATCCTTACAGAAAAATTAACTAATATTTCCAGTAATATTTTGTCCTACCAAACATCTTTTTTGTAAAATACCGAGACACTTTTTATTCCAGCTATATTCCAAGTAATCGTGATTTCAGGATCCAAAAAAATTTCTCCAGTACCAAACGCCCCCTTAAGGAAAGCCCGTAGAGTCGCACACTATTTGGCCCATTTGGATCACTACTTGGAGTTTGGTCCTACATTATTTCTTTTCACCAATTTATTTGATAGATATGTTGAGACAGAACAACGACTAAAGTACTACACTTTTCGTAAAAAATTATCCGAATATTACATTATGTAAAAAAAAATTCAAAATGTAACGTCACCTAATTCGCTACAACATCTGACGAGTTAGGTATGGACATGTGGCAGAAAGTGCATGGCCACTAAGCTGTTGTGCAATGTAGCAAGATTACGTGGCGTCAAACGTGCTTTGAGGCATAGCATGTTTAGTCAGTTTTTCTGACCCGTGACAATTATGTTATGCAGCATAGCATGTTACGTGTGTATCATAAAATAATTTAAATTAATATAGACTGAATTAAATTAAAATAATTAACAAACATAATTGACATTTAATTCAGTAACACTCTTAAATTGAATTACATTTCTTAATGGTTAAAAAATTAACATAACTTAAACTAAATTAAATGAAATTAATTAACACTCCTAGAAATAATTCAGTTTATATTAATTTAAATTATTTTATAACTATTAATTAAATATTTTAGGAGTGTTAATTAATTTTATGTAATTTAGTTTTAAGTTATGTTAGTTTTTTTGAATAATTTAATTTAATTAAGGAGTGTTAATGAATTAAATGTAATTTATGTTTGTTAATTATTTAAGTTAATTCAATCTATATTAATTTAAATTATTTCATAACTATTAATTAATTATTTTTAGGAGTGTTAATTAATTTTATTTTATTTAGTTTAAGTTATGTTTTTTTAACCGTTAAGTAATGTAATTTAATTTAGGAGAGTTAATGAATTAAGTGTAATTTATGTTTGTTAATTATTTTAGTTTAATTCAGTCTATGTTACTTTAAATTATTTTATGACACACACGTAACATATTATGCTGCATAGACGTTAGTCATGTATCAGAAAAGCTGACTAAACATGTTATGCTGCATAGCACATTTGTCACATGTCAGAAAAGCTGACTAAACATACTATGTTGCATAACACGTTTTACGCCAAGTGATTGCACAACGGCTTACATGGTCATGCACTTTTTGTCATGTGTCTACACCTAATTCTTCAGGTATTGTAGTGAGTTGAGTGACGTGGCATTTTGAAAAAAAAAATACAAAACGTGACATTTAGGTAATTTTTTGTGAAAAAATGTGACACTAATCATTTTCCCGTGTTGAGACCTGAGAGTTGTCATCGCAGGTGTTCAATGCAGTGATCGGTGTAATTTTATTGCTTTTTCATATATATATATATATATATATATATATATATATATATAGACAAAAAAAAGTGTTTGTCCTTTTAAATGACACAATTTGTGTCATTTCACTTTCACAAAGAGGTGGAACCCACACCTTTATTTTGTTTGTCCAATCTCTTCTCCTTTATCTATCTCTTTCTCTCACTTAAAATGACATAATTTTACATCCTTTAAAATGATGGGATAGGATATTG